ACATCGTGAACCATGTTTCCGTGGGAAAATCTTCTGATGTCGTCGGTGTAGAAGGCTGTTATGTAGCTTTTTTGATAGATTAGAATGTGCTCTTCAATATTCAGTTGGGCTCATTTGGTTTGGTTTCGCAGCGCGTAATTAATCGTGTTTCGAATGTGGAGGGAAGTGACTTTTTTAGCCCCCGCCCTGTATAAATTGCAAAACTTAACTGCTTATTCTTCTAAAAACGTTCTTTAAGCAGAAGAAACGTCTTCCATTCGTACGTTGGAATACCTGTTTGAAGGAGCCCTCAATCGCGCCTTTGTACGGGAATTTTGAATTCCATGTGGCGTACACGTTCACTCCATAATCATCGAATCCATGGAAAGTGCTGTTCGACGGGCATTTTATGGCAGTTTCGTAAGCTATGTTTTCGAGTTTACAGTCCCACTTCTGTAATAAGACAACTCCTTGCTAAGGTGACGAGCATTCCATCAAAATTTGGTAGACGCTCTTACCAGCTTGTACATGTTAGCCGCCGTAGGATTATATCCATTGCCACCATTCTGTAATTCACCACGCGCAATTCTCGACCTAAACAAGAGCTTTTAAGACATGTATAGAGTAAGACGTAAGCTGCTGCGGTCTAGTGATATTATACCTTTGAGCCCGAACGAAATTTAGCACTACAACTATTCCCGAAAGTTAACCAGTGAAATATTCCATCAGTGATTCCTTCCGAGAACACTTATCTCTGCAGGTATTTCACCTTCGACCCACCCAGTCTTCCATTCCCTAAAGGAAATACCATCGTCGTCTGTATCCGACAAAACGCAGCATTTCTTAAGATCTTTCTTGGAAAACCATGATTCTATCTCACCCATAAATCACTGGCTTGAGACCCATCGTCCACGATAAGAACGAAAAGAACAAAAATTGCGTTTGTTTTGGTAAACAATTCGAAAAACGAAAGGACTGCTACGCGTTAATTCCCACCGGACATCTGTCACAAATGCTGGCGACGGGCGCTTCCACTTGGTTCACGGAGTGCTGTCACTAGAAACTCTTTCTGGCCTTTTGACTTATTGCATTCACATCTCACACTTCTACTGCATCCTATTCTATCGATCGATTTGTCTCTACTCTCCAAAATCGCGCGCTTTAACCCGATTCTTTCATTGCGTCGCCTGATACGTAGCCGCCCAAAGGCGCTTTCTTTCCATGCCCCGCCTTTGGCTCCGCCCAACTTACCTTCGATGTCCATAGAGTGTAGCGTTTTGGAGCGTGCCATTGTTCTTCGAGCTGTCCATGGAGCATGGTTTTCGTGATTTTGTTTCTCTTCGGAAACCGAATTCTCATGCATGAAACCTCGTATGCTGCATCCAGTGATTAGAACAGACATATTCATTGAGATATTCATGCGAAAGGAATGCAAGATTAGGTATTAGGTTTCCCTAGGATGCGAAAAATCAATCATTGACGTCCCCCGTACTTGGTCACGACCAGAACTTTCCGTCAGTTTTTCGTGGTCTCGGCGAAAGACTCGGGGTCTGGATTTGACTTGATGCAGCCATGCATCGACTTCTGGCTGGATAAGCGAATCTCAGTGAAGAAAGACACGAGTTCCTGGACAGTTCAGTGATGGGAATGTTAGGCAGAGGTTGTGACAAGAACATGATATGTCATTGATTGATTCTCTTCTCAGAAACATAGAGTTCGAAAGAGTTGCCAGTCTCGCTACTTTTCTCCTACTATACCTCCCGATTTGCTAGCGTAGTTCATTCACTTTACCATAGCACACGATGTATAGTAGAATGGGCCATTCTCTTCCGGAACACGTATAACACTATGTAAAAACATGGGATCCTATATGGGAAACCACAGTAGTCAACAGGCACCCTAATCTCCAGCAAGTATCCTGACCGAGCGCTCATAAGAGAAATGTCAAATTGAGGGTTGAGGTTTATTCTCCGGGACTTCACGACTGTGACAACACACGCAATACTATAATAGATATCTTGAGTGGAGCATTTCGCAACTCTTCTTTTGTCTGATAGCCATCTTGAAAACCGCAATTACTTTTATGTGTTCTTACACTTAGAGCATAACTACGCGAACAAAACGCTGCTGAACTAGGCGCTCGTGATGGCCTTACAGATCAGTGATAGGAAATAAAACCTCTACATATTCTTTGAAGTGGTTCACATGTCGTGTCTTCCTTCACTAAAATTCGCTTATCCAGCCAGAATTCGATGGTTGACTGCATCAAGTCTAATCCAGACCCCGAGTCTTTCGCCGAGACCACGAAAAACTGACGGAAAGTTCTGGTCGTGACCAAGTACGGGGGACGTCAATGATTGATTTTTCGCATCCTAGGGTAACCTAATACCTAATCTTGCATTCCTCCTCAACATGAATATCTCAATGAATATGTCTGTTTAATCACTGGATGCAACATACGAAGTTTCATGCATGAAGATTCGGTTTCCGAAGAGAAACAAAATCACGAAAACTACACTCTATGGACAGCCGAAGGTAAGTTGGGCGGAGCCAAAGGCGGGGCATGGAAAGAAGTCGCCTCTGGCGGCTACGTATCAGACGACGCAATGACAGAACTCCGTGGAGTAAGAGGAAGCGTCCCTGTCGCGAGCATTTGTG